ATCACAGAATGTTTATACAAGTAAAAGTGCATTAAATCACTTAGAATAGTTACTCCACTCTTCCTCTTAAAGCTGAAGGAAATTCAGTGTGCAGGAGGCAAACCTAATCAGACTGAATCCACTAAATAAGTCCAGACTTCATGATGGCCCCACATCTACACCTAAACCTGCCGGGAGCGTGGGTGGGGTTAGGACCAGCTCAAGGGCTGGGGAAGCCACAGAGGAGTTAGTTGGACTCCCACAGCTGTGCTGTAGCTGCCTCTGGAGAGCCCTGAACGACTCGAATTTCAGGATTCTCTCCTGGAACAGCTGATAAAGCTACCTCTTCCACATCAAAATTACAGAACAGAAGGGACTCCTGTTTTGTGTCCCCAACAGGTAAATGGAAAATACCATTCTAAACAGGATAGACATCTTCAGGGAAGAGGTAGGTAAGTGAATGGGTCACTCGGCTGGCAGAGAGCCTGAGCTGGGACAAAGGTGATGCTGCCTTGCTTGGTACCTCTAGGTCTGTGGAAATGTAGCAGGTTAACTGCAAATCCTTGTTTTTCTGTCAGATATATTTCATATATTTTAACCCTAAGCGTAATTGAGAAACAGAACTTAACAGGCTAACTGATAGTAAATTTTAAAGGAGCTCCAGTTACTAATTCAGTTTTTTATTTAACCAGTGAAACTTTCATCAAACTAAATCAATAAACAGTTTCCCTTTAGATTTGATATTGTGGCTTATCCAAGGCAAGCATGGTCCCTTTCTTTAGCAATACAAGTTGTTGTCAGTCACTACCAGAGCCATCTGCATGTATCAAGTCCTGTAGCCAGCTGGGGGCTGTCTGGATACCATATATGAATGTAGTGTCATCTTAAATGGGGGTAGGGTGAGGAAGAAAGATGGCAGGCCACCTCCAATGTTTTGGTCAAGGCTGGGGGGAGGGACAGCTGCTGCCTCCTCTGAATACAGCAGATTGTCCTTAACAGTAGAAAAGTAATTAGCACTTGCTCAGTGCTAAAACCCAGAATCAAGAGCAAAGTAAATGAAATGCCACCACTGCTTCAGAGGGAAGCAGATGCCAGGGAACACTAGCGAAACTACAAAGGGACAGGAATCCCAACTTCAGAAATAATCTCTCGATGCTCCAATTTTCCTTTGGGAACACCACTAACTGGATTTTATAATACAGAAGACATTTTAGCTATAAAAAATAGTTTTAAATGGTTTACCGGCAACCTATCCAAGACAAGTACATTTATTAAGAAGGCAATTGAGTGTATTTGGATCTTCTTACACATTTGCTTGTTTTCTTCAATAAAATGAGATACTGTCAGTTGCATAGTCATTGCTCCACACTGGCTTTCGAGTATCTTAAGATGTACACATCTGAATTTCCAGGTAGTTTGAGAAACAAGGTAAAATATTTTCATGAAAGGTTAAAAAGCCTCTTCTAACTCATCTGAACCCAATCATGCTACCAAGGAAGGGGAATTTTTAAAAGCCACCCCCACTGAGTTCGCTGGTGGCAGAAGCAGGTGAGTCTGGCCTATGGGCACCATTTCAAAGGGCTTTTTGTCCAGCATCGTCACTACAGGATGGATTAGTTGCCTCCTCTCTGCCAGATGCTGACAGCTTCAGCTTTAAGTACTAACAAAAGTTAGAAATTCAGGTGCAGGCGTGCTAGCCAGAGCTGGGATTTTAGCAGCACTAGAAATGTGGGTAGTGCCAGGACCCTCCCATTTGTGACTGAATGACGGGATCCGCTGCCTCCTGAGGTCCTAATCAGCCTGCAGGGAAGTGGCCCTTAGGTCTTGTAAACAATGTGTAGACGCTTGTACAAAATACTGCAGTTACAGTGATGAAAAACCCACCCAGGCTGGTGTGTCAGTGTTCTTTTCACAGAAAGAGTGTCAGCCCACGGAGCTCCATCCTTGGGTAGTTCCATCTAGGACCATGGTATCCGAGGGTTGGAGATGGATGGCCGGATGCTGCCTTTGGGAGCTGGCTTGGACCCAAACCATGACATCTGTGTTTGAAACAGAAAAGACTCCTGAGATGAGAATCAGGAATAGGTGCAGAGGGCACTGAAAGAGCCCTCCCCCACCCCTGGGTGGCCCCTCCTGCCCTCCATGCACCCTGACTTCGGCTGTGACCAGAGCAGTGAAAATGGCTGTAGTGACAGATCCGTAGGGCTGAGCCCATTCTAAATATGGGAGGGAAACAGGAGTGAAAACTGAGTTGGCAAAACAGGTGGAATTGCAGGTATCTTTTCCTTAAATTTTTTTTTTGCTATTACATAATTTATGCAGATTCTTTTAAAATATATTTTCTCTTTTTCTTTTTTAAGTCTGGGTGCTGGGCCAGACCTGGGGCTATTGACAAAGTGATATCAATTGCTTTGGAAAACAAGGTCTGTTGGTCAAGTACAGCAGAGACCTGTGGGCACAAAGCATGTGCTCAGTAAATACTGCCCGAGTCAAGTTCATCCAAAAGCACCTCTGAAGCTGATACCGCCGCTGTGGGCTGCTCTCACCTGCCAGTGCTGGGAACACTAGCTACATGTTTTGAAGCTGGACAGCAGGCCAGGGAACCCTACCTTATACTCCAGGGTTTCTTTGAGCATGTTCTCTTCCTCTTGTGAAAAGTTCAGCAATACTGACACAGCTTTTATGAGATGAAAGGCCTGAAACAAAGTAAGTTTTGCTGCCTTGGGTCCAAGTGGTGGTGGTGCTGGTGCTGGTGGTGGGAGTTGGGGCTTAATGGCAGCATTTCTGGTTCTGTTCCTGGTGTGTGCTCCCAACAGTGAGCAAAGACCATGCAGAGGTCTGAGCAATGACAGGTTCTCTTTCTCCCTCCATCTTTTACTTCGGGGACTGACAAGATGACCAGGACATCCACAGCAGCTCTGCTCTGCAGAGGATGCGGAAATGCTGGGCTGATTCAGCTGCCTTGACTCTGGCCTCCACATCCAAACCACATCCCCTCCCAGGAGCTAGTTCCCTACTAGGTGCCCCCTTCTTGCTGCTCAAGTAGCAAGTCATTGTCGGCTGGAGAAATGACCAAGGGTCCACACTTATAGTCAAATTGGAATGCGAAAGAGAAAGAAATGGGTGTGGTGGGAAGCCATGCAGGACTCTGACAAATAAGCCAGGCCCCGGGGTAGAACTCGGTACCAAATGCAATTCAGAAGCCCTGTACCTCGGATTCCCGACAGGACATGAATTTTAAAACCACGTGTTTAAGGTACTCGAAGTTGATTTCGCGGGCATCAGGCAGGTCAGCGTTATTTGTGACAGAAGGGGCCATGTTTGGCATCTCAGGGCCAGGCTTCTCCCGGACTTCGAAAAGCTCATTATCGGGTCTGATTTTCTGAAAAACCAAAGAAAAGATGCTACATTGAACTGCTCAAGACAGGTCAGAAAATCACGTGGGAGATTCACCCGACCCATACTGTGATCACCTGCTGGTCCTCTGGCCCCCCTTCCTCCCAAGGAGGAATTGCCAGCAATCAGCAATTGCCTGAAGATAGCTCAGCTCCTCCAGGTGGGGTGGACAGTTGAGAGGAGGGAACAAGGTCCCTGGGGAAGTTCAGACATTTCCTGTGTCAGGACACATGCCCTGCGGCGGTGAGCACCTCAGCCAGGGCAGAGGTCCTGCTCTCCTATGTTTGGGCCTGGCACTCTGCCATTCACATGCGGTACACCCATCATCTCACTAACTTCTCAGACAACATACAGGCTGGAGAAGGAGGGCATATGCCTGCGGTCACACAGCCACTTCATAGAAGCATGTTCAACCTGGCAGGGCTGCTGTCCCACCAGCCAACATTGCGAAGACCCCTTGCAATCAATGGAAGGGCAGGGGAAGGGAAGCATCATCAAGCAGCAAGGAACCCCAGGGGACCAGAAAGGGAACAGGCAGCAGGGAGAGGAGGGCACTCACCAGTTCCTTCTGCAGCGTCTTTTTGAGTTCCAGCATCCTCTGCTGCATCTGCTTTATGGCCTGAGACAAATCCCCAACCCCAGACAAAAGCCACTCAGTAAATGCACATTTCACCATCTTTAAGGGGAAGGACAACAGAACAAACAGACACTCTTGGGTCCCCATACACCTGTTAGAAGTCCCTGCTTTGTCTCCTGAGAGGCTTATGCTGTCACACCTGTGTACCTGCTGCTATGGTCTCTTTTCCTTACATGGAGCTGCTTGCACATATTTGCTCTTCTTTAAAAAATGTTTTTTATTGATTTTTAGAGAGAGAGGGAGAGAGAGGGATAGAGAGATAAAATAATCAATGAGAGAGGACCATCATCCATCAGCTGCCTCCTGCACACCCTCTATTGGGGATCAAGCTCACAACCCAGCATGTGCCCTGAGACTGGGAACCAGTGACCTCTTAGTTCCTGGGGTGATGCTCAAACACTGAGCCACACCAGCTGGGCCACATATTTGCTTCTGAAGCCTGTCAATGGCCACCAAAGTCACCGTTTACCCCTCTACGGAGCACCCAATACCCCAGTGGGGACAGGTCAGAGGCCAGGAAAATCCCAGGAAAGTCCTCAGGGCTGCTCCCAGTGCCTGCCTCCCTACGTTGCACAGCTAGAAACATCTCTGTACAGTCTATTTCATCCTTCAGAATTACATGTATGTGCTATGATTTCCCAATCAGGCCAGAATTCATGGTTCTCGTCATCATCATTGCTCTCCAGAAATACCATAATTTGCAATGCTTATTTTGAAAAGTATAAAAGGTCATGTTTTTTCCTGTACAATCCACCAACATTGGGTTTTACATTTTTTTACTTATTTTTTAAAAATTTACCTTTATTGTTGAAAGTATTACAGATGACTCCCTTTTTGTCCACACTGACCCCCCTTCCCCCTCCCTCCTTTCCCCCAGGGCTTTCACCATACTACTGTGTCCTTGAATTATGCATATAAGTTCTTTGGTTAATCTCCCCCCCCACACCCACCTTCCCTCTGAGATTCTTCAGTCTGTTTCATGCTTCTCTGTCTCTGGATCCATTTTGTTCATCAGTTTATTTTGTTCATTAGATTTCACATATGAGTGAGATCATGTGATACTTGGCTTATTTCACTTAGCATAATACTTTCCAGATCTCTCTATGCTGTCTCAAAGGGTAAGAGACCCTTCCTTTTTTACAGCTGCACAGTATTCCATGGTGTAAATTTACTTATTTTTTTTAGTGAGTTTAATTAGTATTATAACCTTACATGTATTTTTTTGGGGGGGGCCGATTAATCCTCGCTTGAGGATATTTTTCCTTCTTCCTTTTTTTTTTTTTTAAAGAGAGAGTGGAAGGGAGGGAGAGAGAAACATCGATGTAAGAGATTCATTGACTGGTTGCCTCCTCTACATGCCCCGACCTGGGGCCGGGGATCCAGCCTGCAACCAAGGTACATGCCCTTGACTGGAATCGAATCTGAGACCCTTCAATCCTCAGGCCGATGCTCTATCCACTGAGCCAAATCGTCCAGGGCCTTAAGTGTAATTTATTACTCATTCCATTAATCACTAGAAAGGCTGAACTGTGTTCCCAATGAAAAAATTTACTATATAAGCAGCAGTACAAGAAAAAATTTTAAATAAAAATTTCTCCAAAGTCTCACAACTGTAACACATCACAATGAGATTTTCTCATGGATTCCTAGTCCATGTCACTCTTGCATCGAATAGGTACAATTCTGAATAGTATTTTTCATTTATCAGAGTTTTCACAGCTTCCTACAGTTTTCCTAATTAAACTTTCAATGTGACAGTAACTCTAGGGGATTCCCATGTTTTAGTGTATAGCTGAGTTTCCATTTTTTAAGAAATTTTTATTTATTGATTTTTTTAAGAGAGAGAGAGAAAGAGAAAGAAACATTGATTTGTAGTTCCACTTATTTGTGCATTCATTGGTTGCTTCTTGTATGTGCCCTGGCCAGAGACCAAACCCACAACCTTGGCATATCCGATGACACTCTAACCAACTGAACTACCCGGCCAAGGCTTGAGTTTCCATTTTTAAACAAAGCTGTACTATGTTTTGTTTTCTCAAGAGAGGTTTCCCCGCAGTCTCTCTAGAGCATCAGTTCTCAACCTGTGGGTCGCGACCCCTTTGGGGGTCGAACGACCCTTTCACAGGGGTCGCCTAAGACCATCAGAAAACACATATATAATTACATATTGTTTTTGTGATTAATCACTATGCTTTAATGATGTTCAATTTGTAACAATGAAAATACATCCTGCATATCAGATATTTACATTACGATTCATAACAATAGCAAAATTACAGTTATGAAGTAGCAACGAAAATAATTTTATGGTTGGGATTCACTACAACATGAGGAACTGTATTAAAGGGTCTTGGTATTAGGAAGGTTGAGAACCACTGCTCTAGAGGAAGGAGAGGATTGGGTGAGAGGATCCTGAGAGTCTTGTCAAGTACATTAAACTGCCCCCACTACACTCCACTTAATAAAATGGTAATGGGCTGTTTCAATTTGTATTCTCTTGGTTGACCATGAGACTGGACATTCCTCCAAAAGTACATTTGCTATTTTATGTTACTCGATTTTCTAGGATTTTGGCTCATTCATTCATTTATCCAACAAATATTGATTGAGTCCCTACTATGGGCTGTCCTAGAGGCTGGGGAAATAGCAATCAACAAACAAAAATATGTTTGCCCTCAGGAGGGCAAAGTGTCAAAACCAAATATAAAGCCTATCAGAAGGCATGGAGAAAAAGAGCACGGCAAGGGGCTAGGCAATTCTGGTGGTGAGGGCTCACAGGGACAGCTGGGAGGCCTCACTGACAAAATGGTACCATAAAGGAAGTGAAGGTCAATGGAGGAAGAATCTTCCAGAAAGAAGGCTCAGTGAGTGCAAAGGCCCTGATGGTGCTTGACCGTCACAGTGGGCAAGGCCAATGTGCCTGAGAGGGGGAGTGGGGATAGCAGAGGAGGGCGGTGAAAAGGGTAATAGGGGCAGGGCTTTGTGGGCCTCTGCAAGGACTTGGCTTTTATAGAGAGAAGGGAGATAGGCTAGAATCCCAACACCATCTAGGGAAGGCTGGCAGCGGTGGTGGGGCTGAGAAGCAGCTGGCACGATATCAAGGGAGATCCAAAAGGATTTGTTAATGTTTGGATGTCAAGGACGACACCGAGATTTCTGCCCTTTCCTGAGGTAGGAAAGATGGCAGTAGCTGCAAGGGAGCACGGACATCTGGAGTTTGGTTTTGGATGTTTTAAGCTTCAGATGCCTTTTAGATACAGAGCAGATCAGTGCAGGCATCTAGAGTTCATGGGAGCTGTCCGGAGTTGAGACATGGATGTGGGAGCCGGCAGTGTGCAGTTTGGGTGAGATCACAAGGGAGTGAGTACAATTTAGAGAAAAGGTCTGAGGGCTGGACCCTGAGGCACACAGTGTTTGTGCACTTTTCTGTGTCTATTTTATATTTCACAGGAAAAGATTAAATGTGAATGTGGGGGGAAGAGAGGGAGAGGAAAGAAGGGGGGGGGGGAGGGGGGAGGAGAAGGAAAATGAACACTTTTCCCCTTTGTTAAAGATCTAAAAAAAAAAAAAGACAATCACACAATTTGGGGGCAGAATTTCAGGCCAGAGCATAGTCCACACATTGAACTTCACAGGGCACTTTAAAAACCAGGATCAAAGGAGACCTGCATTTACAATTGCAGAGGCCTGCTGGGGAGGGGAATCATCACACTGAATTAGCCTCTACCAAATACCAGGAATTTTACAGGACAGCTCACACTTTCATGTCACCCTCAAAGGCAGATCTCACTGCTATCACTTCACAGCTGTAGAAAGAAAGGCCACAGGAGAGGTGAGAACAGGGTCCAACAGGACAAAACTGGTGACAGCAGAGGAGGCTGGGAACACCTAGATTTGCTGCTGCTCAAGCGCTGATCCTCTGGACATTGTCTCCCGTGGGAGGCAGGGGAGGAGACTGGGGGAGTGTGAAAGGAAGACAAAAATGCAGAGAGAAATAGAAGAGGAAAACCAGGAAAAATCCCTTTTAATGAAAGAGTATCTCCCCAGGAGGTGCCCAAGGAGCATCAGCAAAATTCTCAGAAGGGACTGCGGCACAAGGACAGGGAAGGGCAGAGATATAAAGAGCCGAGGTAAAGAGCACCCTTACCTTATTTCTCTCTAGAAGTTGCTGCTCCAAGTCCTGTTTTTCCTTCTGTAGCTGCTCTAGGTCCATGGCCCCCACCTCACCATTTGGTATCCCCTCTGCAGGCGGAAGCTGGTATGCAGGCTCACGCACAGCCCTCGACCTTGAGGTTACCTACAGGGTGGGACAGCAAGTTGAGAGCCAGGACAGGGGTCAAGCTAAGCCACAGGTCCATGGGGCTGGGGGGTGGGGGTGGGGGGTGGACGGGACAGGGACCAGACTCGTTCCAAAGGTGTGGACTGCTGTGCTCTAACTGCCAAGAACCAAACAGACTATGGAGAGCCCGGCCAACGCCTTCCGGAGGGACAATCCACTTTCCACGCAGCAAGTCTGCCTGAAGGAAAGGGCCATAACACCTGATCGCTGACAGGCTCCTCAAGACTCACAACCTCCAAGTCAGTTAAGCAGCCCCACCTTAAAGAAAGCTAAGGTATCCCCAGGCTAGTGAACCCAGCAAGCTTCCTTGTGTCTGCCCATGGCCGCCTCCTACTGGCAGACTGCAGCTCTGCCCTGTGGTTTGCTGCCATACACCATGGCCTGGCGGGCTGGCATGGGACTTACCTGGAGCTCGCTGACTGAGAGTGCCAACCCCTGTTCCTGGCCTGGCAGCCTCAGCAGGTCCTCCCGCCCAGCAGCTGCTTCGGGTTCCTCTGCCCTTAGGTTTCTCAGGGCCTGCAGCTCACTGCGCAGCTGGTGTGCCTGCAGCAGGGCAGCGTCATGACCTAGGCCGGGCAGAGGAGGGTGAGCCCAGTGACTCCATGCTGCTTCATGCCTGGGCCACCTCAGGGTGGGGGTGCTGGGCAGGAACAGGGCAGACCCCTCACCTTTTTTCAGCTGGAGAATCTCCTGCTCTTTCTGGAGAATCGCAGCCGTGCTTTCCTGCAGACTCTGCTCCTTCTCATCTACTATGGATGTCAGGTTAGCAGCCTTGGAGAAAAAAACCACGCTGAGAGAAGGCTGGCAGCAGTGAGCCCATCTCCTCCAAGGACTCCCTCCTTTTCCACTCCCCAGGCCTCCAGAGAATCCCTCCCTGAAGTCCACAGCCTAGAACATGCCCCAAGCTCACCTTTGCTCAGAATCATGCACACACCAATTCTCCTTGGCAGGGGCCCTGCAGATGGGCACTCGCCCTCACTGCCTCTCTGGCCTGCACTGGGCCACCCAGAGAAGTGGCCATTTTGCTCAGCCTTTCAACAAGCTGGTTGTAAGCGTAACTTCTAGGTCCCCTGTGCCTGTGACATGCCTGGCATTTTCTATACACGACCTCATTATGATACCCTGGAAGGTGCGATCATCCTAGAGTCATTTCAAAGGCAACTCTGAGACTTTATGAACTTACCCAAGGCCTAGAGCCAACTCACTAGGAGATCTGGGGCTGATGCTGACTTTGTCTTCAAAGGAGGTTCTTTCCACCCTCCCTTCTGAGAGCTCACTGGTATATGGCCCACCTCACAGAATTAATGCCCTGTAGGTACCTGGGCATGGGCCCTTCCAGGGTGATGTTTATAAAATAACTGACCATCACAAATCCAAAGGCCATCCTGTGGGGTGAAGGTTTCTTTGTAACATTTTCCTCCTACTGTTCTAGAGACTTCCAGGGAATCACACAGCTGCCAGCATTCCTGAGACCTGGGCCACACCCTGCCCTGGACAGATGGGGAGGTAGGCTGTTCCTGCCTGGACTGAAGTGAAGGCATGACTCTTCAGCTTACCTGTTGCTGAAACTCTTCCCTCTGCTTCCGCACCTCCTCCAGGGCTTGAGCCATTGCCACACTCACAATTTCTCTTTGGCTCCATTCTTCCTATAATTCAGAAAATGGGTCGGAGGTTGAGGCCAATAACTCAGCACATATTTTTTTAGCTCTTACTTCACATGAAGCCCACAGAGGGAGTACTGTCTTGCAGGGCTAGACTAACATTGTTCCTGCTTCCCAAGGTTCCCAGGCTGCCCTCTCACTGCAGTGCCTTCTGTATCCCTCTGAAAACTGCCCTGGGGACAACCCAGCAGCCTCTCTGGAAACTAGCATCACATGCGCACAGCAGCCAGACTCAGGCCAAGGCTGTGGGACCTAGAATTAGAAGAGCTGGTCTAGTGAAATTAACACAGAAGAAGAGAGACTCGGGCTCGTGTGAATGGTGTAGTGCACCGGAACAATTCAGTTACAGAAAAAATAATAAACAATTATTGAATTGTAATAGGGCAAAATGTCACAGGTTCACCAAACCTACCCATTTTACTGGAGAGAAAACCGAGGCTCTAAGAGGTTAAGAAAGCTGCTCAAGCCAGCACCTGAGCTCAGAGCCAAGCCTTTGGAGGCTACACTCCAGCACCCAGACTAACTTCTACCCCGAGCAAGGCTACCTCACTGGCCTTTCCTCAGAGTGCAGGGATTATCTCCTGACAGACACATCAGTCCTCTTCCCTGAGACATGCCATGCTCACCCATCAACCCCCAGATAAATACTATGACTTCTCAGTTGCCCACATTACTGGTCAGAGATGTCTGCTGTTTCTATCTACCTAGAATCAGCCCCCTTTATTTAGATAAGAGCCTCATTGTTGTTATTCTCCACTCCCAACCCAGCAATTCTGTATGGTTCTGGCTAATAATGATGCCCCCACTTTGTGGCTACAAGGTAAGCATGTGGTTCAGGTCTGGCCAATCACAGTACCTCATTCCCTTGGCCAAATCAATCTGTCCACAGATGAATCAATCAGAATCCCTTTTTATATCCAAATCCTTTTTATATTAAGGTGAAGCTGGGGAGAGGCCCTCTTGGCCCTGCGGTTGCTAAGCTGGAATGTTACCAGCTTGGAGTGGCTGTGGTGACATTTCCTGATCTGTAGGATGCAGCCTACATCATGGAGAAAAGCAAGGACAAGAGTTGGATGACCCCCAAGGCAAGAGACAGCATGGAATAGGAGAGAAGAACCTGAGGCCCCCAGATTCCAGTCAGACAAGTGTTTCTGGTTCTGTGAGCTACTCAAGTCCTCCTACAAAATCTCCCTTTCCACTCCTGCCAATACAAGTGGGTTATTGGAGGAGGATGACAGTCTTGTGGCCAGTGGCATTCTGGATCCCACTGTGGAGTTGTCGGAATTGACCTTCTGTGAGTCCACTTCTAGTAGTCAAGGAAAATTGGTGCCTGAACTCAAAAGGCTGAAGGTGGGACCCTGAACTACCCTCACTGGGGACGCTCTGTTGATACAGGAGCAAAAGGTCTCAGGCTGGCGAAGCTGTGAAACCCTGCCTGGCCTGTGGGCCCAGGAGGGGAGGGGATAGGTCATGCCTCTGCAGCAGCCCTTCTGGGGAAGTTCAGGAGACGCTAGGATTGCTATGTCTAAGAGGGCAGGACGCAGACTATGCAGACCGTAAGAGAGAAGACAGGGAAGCAGGGCAGGGAGCAGGGATTCAGCACCTCCATGCCAGGAACTGCACTGAGCACTTTCCAGCCATGGTCACACTTAATCCTCAGAGTGATCTTCTGGAGGTCACAGGTTTAAACAAAAAACCCCCAAAAACTGAATTCCCCCAAGAATCAGCTAGTGTAGGGCTAGGCTGGCACACAGAACTGAGTCAACGTGGCTCTAAACCTGTGCTGTTGCCACAGACACTTGCGCCTCAGGACCACGGGATTCGCGGCTGACTGGCACAGCTCGGGTTTGCTGAGGCGCCACCACGCCACCACATGTGCAGCTCTCTGCACCTGGGAATGACTTCCCTGAGAGGCTCAGGGAACAGCTGTTTTGAAAAATACAATTCCACATATGTATGCACCTAAAAAGAGTGCTTCAAAGAACTTGAAGCAAAGATTGACAGAAGTAAAAGGAGCAAGAGACAAATGCATGATCACAGTGGAAGATTCAGCACACCCCTCTCAGTACTAATGGAACAAGCAGACAAAAAAATATATAAAAATAAGAGAACAGATTTGAACAATACTACCAACTTGATCTAATTAGCACTTACAGAATATTCTCCCTAACAGTAGTAGAAATATATTCTTTTCAAGTGCACTGAAATATTTACCAAGATAGACTATAGGCTGCATCTTAAAACAAGTCTAAAAAATATCAGGATGAAATCAGTTAGGTTATTATCTGACCATCATGGTATTAAACGAGAAATCCCAGACGTTGAGAAAATTCCCCAAATATCTGGAAATTAACCACACTTCTAAACAGCCCATGCGCTGGCTTTTAAGATACTGCTCTCAGCCCACATCCGCCCTTCTCTATTCTGCTTTGTGATGCTGCACCTGGGACTCTGCAAACCACTTTTTGTGCATCCAGCTGGCTCCATATTAATCTCTGCCAACAGGGGGAAGCTGGAGGGAGACTGTAAGGCAGGAGGAGGAAGAAAAAGGCTTGCTCCTTCACTCAGCTTCGTTTCCAACACTTGGGGCTGAATTCATTCACTGCCCTACCCGCTAACACACACACACGCCAGTGTACAGCATCCCCCACCCGGAGGCCTGAGTCAGACCTGTGGGGTTCCTCGTCTTAATTCCTAAATTTAATAATTCCAACTTCTTCCCTTAATTCCCTTAGTCCTGGGTTGGAAGCTGCTTTCTTCAGTTGCTACCTTTGAGATATCTTTTAACTGTTTCAGTGCTGGATTAAAAACTTTACATTAGAACGTAAACTCTCATTCAAATAACTGGGGTGGTTCCTCTCTGCTGACTGGACCATGAGACATACCATCGGTCAGATTTACTGTTTCTTCTCATATACATATTTGCAATAATCATTGTTCTTCATTCTTTCTTACCTCCTCACATCTTCCGTACGTCCATCTAGAATTTCTTTTACCTGAAAGGTGCTCTTTAGTACTTCCTTAGGTGCAAGTCTGTTGGTGACTAATTCTTTGTTTTTGTTTTATTGGTTTTCTTTAGTTCTACTACCATGCTGTGTCAGCGTATGGATTTTAAAATTTATCCTGTTTGGATAGAATGGTTCTTACACCTGTACCTGTGACTTACAGCTTTCATCAGTTTGGAAAATTCTCAGCCATTAGCTCTTCAATAATGGCTCCCGACTTCTTTGTTTCATTGCCTTCCAGGCCCCTAATAACACATGCTAGAACACCTCCTGTGTGTCTTTTACCATTTCTTTTCTGTGTTTCATTCTGTCCTTTCTTTCCACTAATTCTCTCGTTGGTTCTAATCTACTATTAAACTCATTCGTTGTTTTTTAAAACAGCTTTATTGAAGCATAACTGATGAATAAAATATATTTAAAGTGTGCAATATGAAGAATTATGGTGAAAGCATCACCACAGTAAAAATAGTGAAAATATCCACCACCTCAAATGTTTCCTCATGTCCTTTTATAATTGACTGCATTAGTGTCAGCTATTGCATTTTTCAGTTCTAAAATTCTAATCTGATTTATTTTCAAAATTGCTGTCTTTTAATAATGAAAGTTTCCAAATCTCTGCTGAAATTTTGTCTTTTATGACAAAATTTATGAGCATGGTAATGTCTGAGCCTCCTCGCAGGTCTTCCTGCTTCTGCACTTGCTTCCTAACAAACCATTCTCCAGAGTTAGAGTTAACCTTTTAAAACAAAACTCACATCTCTTCTCTGCTCAGAGCCTCACGGCTTCCCTGCCACTTCTCCCCTGCTGTCCCCCGCCCACCAAGCAGCACCCACACCCACCTTTATGCTGTTCTCTAAATAAAATAAGCTTTTTTCTGCCTCAGTGCCTTTCTATTTGCTATTTCTTCTGTCTGGAATATTCCTTCCCCAAACATTGACATTGCTGGCCCCTTCTCATTATTCAGAGCTTTTGCTCAAATATCACTGAAGCTGCCCAGGCCTCCATAGCTAAAGCCCTCTCCTCCCTGCTCTGTTCTTCCCCCTGCTTTCTTTTCTTCAGAGCATTCATAACTATTTATCACTTGTTTACTGTTTCTAGTTACAAGCTCCACCAGGGGATGGGAGAGGGTGTGTGTGTTTGTCTTGCTCATTGCCACATCCCAGCACCTACAATGGTGCCCACAGGTACTCAAATGTTTGATGAAGGAATGCATACAAAAAATCTGACCCCAAAGTGCAGGCCCCCACATACAGCTCTACTGCAACAGCACCTACAGAACTTAGCAGATCCTGTTCCTGAAAGCTGACCCCATGCAGGCCCTCAGCTATGGGTGTTCTCAGAGAAGACCTTGGCCAAGGGATCCACAACATCTTTGGGTCATGACCAAGCTGGGCAAGTACTGCAGTGACCCGTCATCCGCTACAGAAAGGGACGGGAGCCTGGAGGCCTATAAGAAAGTGGTGGAGTCTCTCTTTCTTCCTCAGTTATGTCCAGGAAACGAAGGGACAGCATCTGAAAAAGCACCATGTTCTCAGAAGGGGGAGGGTAGCAATCCAGGAGACTGTTTCCTCATTTAGGTACACGGTGCCCAGTGCAAACCAACCAGTCCTGTGACCTTCCGAAGCCTTGCTCTGCTAGTCTCACTGGAAGTCACAAACAGTGGTGCTCTGACAGTGGTTTTCCAGGCAGCTCTTGATGACACAGAGGAAGGGCTGGGCCTTGTGGTGGAGTGAAAATCAGCCCAGCACCACCTCTCAATAACTATGGAACTTGGAGCCTCAAAGGCAGCTGAAAAATGAGGGTAATTCTTCCTACCCTCCAGGATCACTGAGAGGACTTAGTGAGGTGACAATTTCTAGCAAATGCCTAACAGAACTACTGAACAAATGCTAGTTCCACTGCTTCTCCAAGTGAAAGGCATGCTGCTCGTGAGCTAAATACCTTTAGCTTCTTCAGTTCAAGTTGGTGATGTTGTAAAGAACGTTCACACTCATTCTTGCTTTCTTTAAGGAGTGCATTTTCTTGTTCCAGATCCCTCTGCAAAGTGAGAAAAGCATAGATAGAAAGAAAAGGTCGTTACCATATTGCCCCTGGGCACAGTCCTATCTCTTTGACAGGGAATCTTTAAAAATGCCCCCTCCCTTTTTTTTGGGAGATGAGAATGGGGTGGGACAGAGAACTCCTCATAAGAAAGAGGCACTTGATTCTGAAGATCTGGAACAGGGGGAGGGGCCAGAGAAAGTAGAAGCCACTAGGGAAGAATATGAATTTTACAAAGATCGGGAAGAAGCTGATGGGACTGGTCAGGGAGTCCCTGTGCAGCACTAGAAAGTGTCTAGTTGGGAAGATAAAAACTGCTCCCAAATGTGATTCCCTAGTTCAGAGTAGGGCTGGTCTTCCTGTGAACCTGGTGCTGAGCAGCACAACCTCACGCCTTCCTTTACTCACCACCTGACGCTCTGCAGCCGACTGGTCAGCTGCCCGAGCCGTCTCGAGGGCAGCAAGCTGGGCCTCCAGAGCGTGGACGTGCTCCGTGCACTGCTGCTGCAGAGCCAGCACCTGCCGCTGTGCACGGCTGCTCTCCTGGTTTGCGGTGGCCTGCGGGGGTACCAGAGGATAGATATTTGCAAGGACAATGGGGGCCTTATTCTGTTTCTCGGTGACCCATAATGGGTGTCCTATACAAACAACTCTCCTTTCTGACCTTCTCCAGCCTGGGTACTGCCAGGGTCCCCACCTGCAGGCTCAGCCTATTGCCCAGGCCCTGATCTGCTCAGGAGCTAGCATCTGGGATGGGTCTTGGTGCTGGGGGGACAGCTCTGCCCTCCCTCACTGCACTCAGTGCTGCCCTCTGCATATAACCCAGTGATGAACTGGGCTTTGGTATGAGAAGGATGCAGCCTGGTCTTTCTGAGCCTGCTTCCTCTAGAGCAGTGGTTCTCAACCTTCCTAATGCCCGACCCTTTAATACAGTTCCTCATGTTGTGGTGACCCCCAACCATAAAATTATTTGCGTTGCTACTTCATAACTGTAATTTTGCTACTGTTATGAATCGTAATGTAAATATCTGATATGCAGGATGTATTTTCACTGTTACAAATTGAACATAATTAAAGCATAGTGATTAATTACAAAAACAATATGTAATTATATATGTGTTTTCTGATGGTCTTAGGCGACCCCTGTGAAAAGGTCGTTCAACCCCCAAAGGGGTTTCGACCCACAGGTTGAGAACCGTTGCTCTGGAGCAAGCATGTCAAACTCGCTGCTCACAACGAATACTTTTGCGGCCCAGCCAATATAATGGTATGTAAGAAACATTTTAATAAAAATTTCACAACTTAATTTTTACAATATCCTGTTATACATAATTATTAATAACGAGCTACAACATTCGCTAATGACTGATTACTATAATTGTGTTGCATTCATTTCCCTTAACGCGCCTTACGCGTAGGCGCACCATTTCTCTCCACTAATACTAGCAGCAAATATTTTAGCAGCCGATTGCTACATCATTAGTCTTGTACTGACTTGTTTGGTGTGAGCAACAGAAAATATTTCGCTTTCAGAGAACAAGAAAAATAGGTTGATTTGCATTACGCTTATTAATTTGTGCAGTTATTCAGTGTCTGGTAAGTTAATGTTCAAGAAAAAATATTAATTTTTATTAAAATGTTCTATTATTTTATGTCAACTATTACTCATTTTGGCCCTTTGTATTCAGCATGTCTCTATAGAAATAAACCTACGTGTCTATGAAAATTGAAGCTTTTGTTTTTTTACAGCCCACATAAACTTAAACCTTATTTGGCCTGTGTTAGCCTTTGAGTTTGACATGCTTGCTAGAGAATGAGGATAACAGTGCATACCTCTTAGGTCTGCTGCAAGGACTAAATGAAAACATGTGCAGAGTACTTAGCACAGTGTCTGGGACAGGGTAGCCATGCAAAGAATGCCATTTTTATTTCTCTAGTTGCTAACTCAACACCTCTCCTGAGGCTGCAACAATTGGTCAATCCCTCGTCATCCTCTCCCCAAAGCTTGGACCTGTTCTCCACAGCCCTGGCTGCAAGCTGAGGTTTGACTGCCAGTGGAGTTACCACCTGTAATAATCCCACAAAGAGGCTGGGCCCTCTGGCCAGCTGTCAAGTGGGAATTAGCCAGTCCCTGCCTCTCTGGGTAACTCAGAGCCTCCAGCAGGCCTGACTCCTACCTGCAGCTGCCCAGCTGCCCACACCCAGCACAAGTGTATATGAAGTCAGGCCCAGATACCATTCCAGAAGTTGGGGTATCTGCAAAGGCATAAGGGAAGGCATCGAGCCAGGGGTCCTCAAACTACGGCCCGCAGGCCACATGCAAATACAAATATTGTATTTGTTCCCGTTTTGTTTTTTTACTTCAAAATAAGATATGTGCAGTGTGCATAGGAATTTGTTCATAGTTTTTTTTTTAAACTATAGTCCGCCTTCCAACGGTCTGAGGGACAGTGAACTGGCCCCCTGTTTAAAAAGTTTGAGGACCCCTGGCCTAGACCACAGCAGCACAATAGCTACTTACAAGCTCCTGAATCTGAGATTCCTGAGCAGCCACGGCGTCTCTGCTCTGTTTCAGCTTCTCCTCAGAGGCCTGCAGGCTCTGCTCTAGTTCTTTCACCTTAGTGGAAACAGAAGCATTCTTTTTGTTGTTGTTGTTAGTCCTCACCTGAGGATATGTTTCCATTAATTTTTAGAGGGAGTAGAGACAGAGAAACATCAATGCAAGAGAAACACATCTATTGGTTGCCTCCCACATATGCCCCAACTGGGGCCAGGGAACAAGCCTGCAAGCGAGGTGTATGTCCCTGACTGGAATCGAAACCAGGATCTTTCAGTCCGCGGGTCAACGCTCTATCCACTGAACCAAATGGCTAAGGCCAGAAGCATTCTTTTGCTGGTGTGGCTCAGTTGGTTGGAGCATCATCCCATGGACTGGAAGGTTGTGGGTTCGCTTCCCAGTCAGGGCCTGTACGAGAGGTAACCAATTAGTGGGTATAGCTCTCTCACATCAATGTTTCTCTCTCTTCCTCCTTCTCTGAAATAAATTACAAAAAGACAATCTAAAAGTAAAAAGTTTCCTCATCTAAAAAAAAAAAGCTGAGTAACAATAAATGGCTTTAAAAACTAAATTAATGTAAGTCAGAAATCAGGTACATAATTGAAAATTTTATAGGAAAAACATACCCATAAGTCTACTACTATAAAACACTATCATCCTAATATCTTTTCTTCCAGTCTATTTCTATGACTTTTTAAAATAATTTTGTATACGGCCGAAACCGGTTTGGCTCAGTGGATAGAGCGTCGGCCTGCGGACTGAAGGGTCCCGGGTTCGATTCCGGTCAAGGGCACGTACCTGGGTTGCGGGCACATCCCCAGTAGGAGATGTGCAGGAGGCAGCTGGTCGATGTTTCTGATTCTCTCTCTCTCTCCCTTCCTCTCTGTAAAAAATCAATAAAATATATTTTAAAAAAAAAATAATAATTTTGTATACAATTCTAGTAAAACTGTATTTTTCCTCCTCACTCAGGTTTTCTTCTGTGTTTCTACATGGTCTGCAGACCTTAGATTATTTTCTCAAAGGATGTTTTGGAATTTCCTGCACTGCTGCCTCCTGTGTTGGCACTTGGGTTGTTTCCCATTTTCCCATCCAAAACTGTACAGCAGTTAAAATATTTATGCAAATGTTTTGACCTGGTTTGAATCACTTTCTTAGGACAGATTCCCAGAAGTAGGATTACTGTTATGACACAATTTTGGTTTCCTTCATTCACTAAATATCGACCAAGTCTGACTAGGACGTACCTGGCCTTGCACTAGGCTGGCCCAATGGACAGGATGATGACATACTGTCCAGCACTTAGCTAGACCTAATCTCCAATGGGGAATTTTTATCTGACTCAAGCTATCTCTGCCATTTTCTCATTTGTGGAATAAACTCTGCCCTTGGGGAACTTTCTTATTAAAACAAGCACAAGAAGGTGGCAGCTCTGTCAAGGACAAGTGCCCAATGAGAAGAGAATGTTTTTAGGTCTCATGGTTCCTCAGATACATTCACATTACATGATTTCACTAAAACTACCCGATATGAACAGCGTGAGTACTTCCACAGAGGAGACCAGGAATGTTACTTGTCCATAATCATAAATGTTATTAGTGACAGAGCCAGCACTGAAACCTAGCTTTTTAAACTCCTTTCAGAAACTATCTACTCAAGTCCCAGTTAAGAGACACAACTCAAGAAAGATTTCAGATCCTCAAAGGTTAAACACAGAGTTACCATATGTCCGGGCAAGTCCACTCCTAGGTATACATCTCAGAGAAGTGAGAGTGTGAACCACACACAAAAACCTTGTTCATGAAGCCACACTAATGTTCAAGTAGCATTTTCCACAAGAGCCAAAAGATGGAAACAACCCAAATGTCCATTGACAAATGAATAAACAAAACGTGGTACATCCATACAATGGAAGAAAAGCCTTAAAAGGGCTTATTCAGCCTTAAAAAGGAATGAAATTCTGACACACAGATAAACCTTGAGGACATTATGCTAAGTGAAATAAGTCAGACACTAAAGGACAAATAGTGTATTATTTCACTAATGTGAGGTACCTAGATTCGAAAAATTCAGAGACAGAAAGTGGAACTATGTTTGCCAGGGGGCTGGGGAGAGGAGAGAATAGGGAATTATTGTTTCAATAGGTACCAAGTTTCAGTCTAAGAAGATGAAAAAGATCTGGAGATGGATGGTGGTGATGGCTGCACAACAATGGGCATGTGCAATATATACCTAGAAACGGTTGAAATGATAAATTTTACATATGTATATTTTAACACCACAACAAAAAATGGATATATATACAGAAATAAAACTGCCCTGGCCAGGTAGCTCAGTTGGCTAAAGCATCATCCCAATATGCCAAAGTTGCAGGTTTGATCCTCCGTCAAAGCACATACAAGAATCAACCAATGAGTGCATAAATAAGTGGGAAACAAATCGATGTCTCTTTCTAAAAAAAACCCCAAACAAAACAAAACAAAAAAAAAACCTCAATTAAAAATTAAATAAATAAAAAAACGGAATTATAATACAACAAAAAGAACTGTACTTAGAAAAATATACCTTAACATATGTTTATCAAGAAATAAGATTTACAAAATGAGCTAAATTGCTATGGTTTGAAAGTCTGTGTCCCCTCTCCCAAATTCATATGCTGAGATCATGATGTGGGGCCTTTGGGATGTGCTTAGGTCATAAGAGTAGAGCCCTTGAGAATGGGATTAGGGCAATCATTAAGGAGGCCCCACAGAGATCCTCTGCTCCTCCCACCACTTCATACTCCTTAATCTGGCAAAAAAGAAATAAAAAACAAAGAAAAAGAAAATGCTGAGAAATGCCAGTGTTGAAAAGCCCTCAGATACAGGAAACCCCGGGCATGCTGGGGAACTAGAGCCAGGAGCAGCCCTGCTGGGAACATCCTTATCCTATTTAGTCACATTAGGTCACATGCATTCTCTCTCCTCTTTGATGTTCACTGCAGTATAATCTGTGGTCACAGGAAGAAGGCAATCTGTATGTCTATCATCTAGTAGATAAATACAAAGTAGAGTAGGTAAGTACAGTGATGTGGACACAGACAGAAGATGGAGCAGTTGAAGCTATGAGAGAAGACTCCATAGCTATATCATTTACATAAATTAGCACATAAAACAATGCCACACGTTTTAGGATACCCCAACAATAGAAGGATTTCTATTAACCATGTCAGAATGGTTTCCTATGGGAGGCAAAGAAATGGGGATAAAAGGGAACAAACAAACAAGAAGACAACTTTGTGTGGAACAATGACAATAATGTGGCAAGAATGAAGAAAATGCCTAACTCAACTCAATAATAAGTAAGAGCCAAAAAACAGTCCCTTCAAAAAAAAACCTCTGACCCAAGGGAATTCTCAGCCACAACCAAGTCATCAAACCAGATTACCACCCAGACACTGCGATCACTGACAGTGAGGTCAATACCCGAGTCTCCAGGATGTCAATGGCCTTGGCCTGGCTGCTTCTGGCTGCCAAGAGCTGCTGTCTGGTATCCTCCAAATTCTGCTCAGCAACTGTTTTCTGTAAGTGGAAGAAGAGTAAAAGAAAATAGTCACTTCTTCATTGAATAGATATTTACTGATATCCACAACATAACTATGATTTGTGTAAGTCTCAAGGGACACAAATACATTAAGATAAAATTCACGTATCATTAAGTATACACAGATAAATTTGACACAGTCCTTTGACCTTGTGGCTAGGGCAAAACAATTATATAACAGAATGCAATAGTGCCCATCAGAAGGAGTACAGAGCAGGATATGCTCATGGCCTCAGGGAAATGGGAGGTTTGACCTTGGAAGCTACAACGTGCTAAAAGATAAAGTGATGGTGGGCTCAAGTCAAGAAACAAGACTAGAAAGTGAGGCAATGGGCAAGATCACGAGAAGCTTTTTATGCTGCAGAAAGGAGCTTGAATTTAATTCTGAAGGCAGTATTTTTCAAAGTGGAGTTGTCTAAGCATTGGCATTAAAACTTACTTGGGGGTGTTAAACTTGAGGCTTTACTCCAGGACTATTACTCCAGAAATCAGAATTTCCAATGGTAGGGCCAGAGATATATACTTTAAACAAATTCCCTAAGTAGCTATTATGCACACTAAACATTACAATAATGATGATGGCACAATAATGATTATTATACTAACTAGAGGCCCGGTACACAGATTCATGCACCGGTGGGGTCCCTCGGCCTGGCCTGCGCCCTCTCACAATCCGGGACTCCTCAGGGAATGTCAGACTGCCCAATCCCCGCAGGCCAGGCCAAGGGACCCCACCGGTACATGAATCAGTGCACAGGGCCTCTAGTATGCATATAAGATCTTTGGTTAATCTCTTCCCACCCTCTCCCCTCCCCCACTTCCCTCTGAGATTCATCAGTCTGTTCTATGTTTCTATGCCTGTGCGTTGAGCGTCTGCCCCCTGGTGGTCAGTGTGCATCATAGCTATGATCAAACAGTCAAAAGGTCACTTAGGCTTTTATATACATAGCCTAGAGGCCCAGTGCATGAAATTTGTGCACGGGTAGGGTCCCTAGTGGCTGCCGGCTGCTGGCCGGGGCCTCCCTTCCCCGGCTGCCGGCTGGGGCATTCCCTCATTATGCGCCACCCTCTGGTTGTCAGCGCACATCATAGGAAGCAATCAAACTCCTGGTCGGTCGAACTCCCAAGGAGACACTTTGCATATTAGGCTTTTATATATATAGAAGATAGCTGAATTATATCAAGACCCTACTATGTTCTAAGCTTCATTCTAACCACTTCACATATTGTAACTCAATTAATCCTAATAACAACTCTATGCATTTGGTACAATAATAACCCTATTTTACAGAGGAAAAATAAACACAAAGAGATTACATGGTTAGCTTTAAGTCACAAACCAATAAATAGAATAGGTGAGATACAAACCTAGTCTGGTTCTAGAAATCAATTTACACTCTAGAACCCACATTATACTCACTGTGGATTGTAGGGGAATTGTGTAAGGTCTTTAAGTTTAGGAAGTTTAGTTTGGCAATAACTTTGTTAGAGGGTGAAGGAGGAGAGACTGATGCTTGGTAGGCCAGTCTGGAGACTTCTAATATGGACTAGGCTATAGTGGCAGTGGAGATAGAGGTATGTAGTGGAAACTAAAGACAGAAAGTGAGGGTGTAATCTAGGCCCAAGGCCTTGGCTTTGTCACCTTTGTCATGGTGAGGCCAATCACTGGTAAACAAGAGGAAAAGGAGTGAAATATAGGCAATGAACTCAGACCTGATGAGAAAGCAAGTTCACCTACATCACTGACCTGGGCAAAAGGTAAGTCTTCTCAATAGCCTCCTCTCAGCTAAGGAGAGTCCACTTGCTGCCCAAGGCAATTATGCTGAAGCCAAAGGCAGATGGTAACAGATGGTTCCTTGGCCAATGGAAAGTGCAAAAGGGAGGAGAGCAAAGCAATAAGACAAGACAGTCCAGGTGGAGTTAATTCCTAGGTGGGCTGATTGGTGATCAGCATGCTATTTAAATGTTCACAGGCATCTCTGAGTAAAGCTTTCCCTGAGGAAAACATGTCCCACACAGGTGACATGAGACTCTCTCTGCTATAAGCAGGACAATCAAAAGTTGGAGAGAGTACTCTTCTCACCAAGCTCTTTGCAAACTCTCAGGAACTGAAACTCTAGGATTTTATGAAATCTCCTTTCCCACATTGGCTGGCCCAGAGAGAGCTAATTACCTCTTTCAGGAGTTCCTGCACATGTTCTTCTCCTGATAAATTTTGCTCCAGTCTCTTCTCTAAGGACGTGACTTTCTCCTGCAAATGTGTGATGAGTTTTTCTTTCTCTTGAGTTTCAGCAGTGACCTGCAGGTGAAAACAGAGATTACATTACACCGTAAATCCGCTCTCCCTCCCTTCTGGTCCCGAGGACCATTGCGTTTTCCGGAAATTCTGTTCTCAACTGCATGCCAGAAGAATATATTGCCAGAAAATCTTCCCTGAAAATGGGACATACAAGATACAAGATCAGAACCCAGCACCACTTTGGCATCCAGTTCAGACCTCATGCAGCAGCAAGAGGCAAATGCCTGCCCCAAGCATCCCACAACCTGGGACAGAGCAATGCTCTTACTCTGTGGAATCTAGCCAGGACCCTGGGAAGATGCTTCTCCTCAAAATATCTCAGTTGTATTGTGATCTACTAGCTAAATGAATGCTTCTCCTCACACTCTCATCAAGCATGTGTTTAATCCTATCAATCTACAGTCCAACAGGACCTACATCTTTATCCCATATGTCAAGTCCAGCAGAGATAATCCCATGCAAGAAGCTCCCAGCCAGCCTACAATAACCTAGAGCGCTCCTGGAAACATGAGGCTGGATGAAGCAGTGATGATGCCCGTCAGCTGCCTTAAGGCCAAAGAGAGAACTTGTAAAACAAATGATGATATTCACCCTGGCTCGCAGCACAAGGATCACAGAGAGCTGCTGTGCATCTCATACCTTAGCCCCAACCTGGGTCCCCTCCTAGAACTTTACTTACCTTTTTGTTTTTTATTTTTGTTTTTTGTTCTATTTACCTTTTGCAAATCAATGGAAAGCTGCTGAATGAATGCTTGGAGCTCTTGTTCCTTTTGCTCCAGGGCTGTGATCTTATTTTCTGCACCTGTTGTTGAAGCTGTCACAAGATCTCTTCATTGAAAGAAAGCAGACAATGAATAAATTTGGATAACTCATCTAAGAAACTCTCTTCCACAGGAAAAATACAGCTGTTTTCTTTATATGTCAGGGCTGCAAACATTTGCCATGTGAAGATTAGAAAAAACGGAGATTCTTCTTAGCTCTCTCTCTGAAGCAGAAGCCCAAAGAGAAAAATTCCACCCAGATTTAAATAAGATATTCTGTCTGTGGTTTCTCTATAGCTTACAAACTAAACACACTAAATTTCTCAGCAGAGTTGGAGGGGCTCTGAGCATAGGGAAGGGAAGGGGAATGAGGATGTGTGTGTGTGTTTTGTTTTGTTTGGGAGGGGGGGGGGTGTGATCCTGAGCCCTAGGTAAATAAGGACAAGACCAGAAGCCTTGGCCAGAACTGAGATCAGAAAGTATTGCAATGAGTAATGGGGAATGGCGGGCAGGTTCTAGCCAGAGCTACACTAACACCGCTTCCCATGGGCCCCACAGACCAAGCAAGAACCTCTGCTCTTCCAGCGTTGAGCAGTGTCTCTGCAATTCTTCTAGCTTCTGTCTCAAGTCTGACGACATCTGATTGGAGGTCATCAACTCCTCCTGGGTTCGACTAAGTTCTCTGGTTCGTGCCTCCAACTCTTGCTCCATTTTCCCCAGACTTTCTTCTTTTTTTAAAAGCTGACACAAAGATAAAGTTTCATTGAGCCACTACTAAGAAATATAACTTAAAAAAAAAATCTGGACCAATAAGCTAAACTTTCATAACATTTCTGTGAGCTTCTAAGTGGCCTTATATGCCCAGCAGTTAAAAAGAAAGAAAAGAAAATGAAACAGAACTTTTCCACTTTAATAAATTGAAAAACATATAATTAATATCAAAGACTACTAGGGTATGTTTGTCAGCACTTAGAGGGTGATGACTAGCAAAATCAGAATAATGAATAATCTATTCAAGCATTTAGCTACTAAAACAAAAATGCGCACCATGTGTTTTACTTTACTTAGTTCCTGCTGCTGGAACCCCTCTAATTCATCCATTTCATCTCTCCTTTGGAAAAGATTCAAACTCTGGTTCTTCATTTCCTGTAACTGAGCTGTCAGAAACCTTTTCTCCTATTTGGAAGAAGATATCAACTCAGGCAACTAAGACATTAAAATCATATTATGTAAGCAGAATTCTTTTTTTTTTTTCAGAATTCTTAATAAAAGTCTCTTGTCAGTAGACAAGAAACATTGATAATAGGAAGCTTTACAGTAATATGATCATTATGGCATTAATTCTTTAAGTTAAAAAATGTTTTAAATGACAGTTGCGAATAAGGGCAATAAGAACAACAATTACTTAACACTTTAAAATCTTAAGTTTGATTAACAATTCCAGATATCCATTTTACATGTTTATTCTCAGTGACAGGCTCAACTGGCTGAATAGCATTAATAACTGGAATAAGAGATTGAATGCCCTTACAAAATTAGATGCATTTAAGTAGAACAGATTTCAATGAGCAAGTCAACAAAAATTAGACATGACCGATGTCAGCAGATTACAATTTACTAAACCATAGCTTCTCAAGATGGATTCTCTTAAGGACAAACCCTGCTGTTGCAGTTTCCAATTCTTGATTGAAAAGAAATTAAAACAGTCTATAAAAAATAACATTTCCAAAAATCACAGTGGCTTCAAAGACCTAGGTGTCTCTAGTCTTTCCCTGTCTAAAATACTTCCCAATCCCTCCTTTGAATGGAGAGGGGTGAAGAGAGATAATCTCCTTAGTGAACTGAAGTAAGTTTTATTTAGTTCAGTCATATATGGATCCCCCTTTTCCATAATTTTAAAAGACAAAAAAATAGTCCAATGAGAATTTCAACAATCTTAAGTTTCATATGATAAGAAAACTTTGACCTAATCTATACCACCATGTTTAAGAAGACCATCAATGCCATGCTTAGAACTTTTTTTTTCTTAAAAAAAAAATATATATATATATATATATGAGAGAGGAAGGGAAAGGAAGAGAGAAAGAGAAACTCTGATGTGAAAATGAAGCATCCATTCGCTGCCTCCTGCACAACCCCTACTAGGGATCAAGCCGGCAACCTGGGCATGTGCTCTGACCTGGAATCAAACCAGCAACCTATCAATCTAAGAAATAATTTTTCTACCATGAAGAGTAACTTAGGAGTACTCAATGAAAACAAGCAGTGAATAAAGTAGCAACATATAATTCAGGCTGAGGGTGTTGACTATTGATTATTTTAAATTAAAATGTTTTTCTAATTGTAGGCTTGAAATTTCATCTTATTGTTCATGTTAGGGAGCCAGGAATGTATTACTTAAGCTTCTACACAGTGTTAGAAAGCTGTGGTGCTGGAATAATCAATTTTCCTCATCTGTGTCTAGCCAAGAGGTTCTCTTATCTGCTCAATGCTGAGCTTGGAGAAATGCACTCCTTTCACTGTCTCCTCCAAGTGTTCCTAATGCTACCACAGTGTCAGGGCCCCAGCAGGAGACAGATGACAGATTCAGGTTAGGTATTTTGAGAAGAGTTTAATAAAGGGACTTTTCAAAGCTGTGGGCAGAGTTACAAAATCCAAAAGAGAAAATGTGTTAGTAACAGATGGACATGAAGGGACAAAGGGATGAAGAGGTTACAAGAAACCTAGAGAAAGAAACTATGTCAAGAGGGTAAAACAAAGATCCAAGGACTCCACCAAGATGGCGGCATAGGTAAACACCGGAGACTGCTGCCGCAAACAACCACTTCAAAAATACAACTAAAAGACGGAACGGACATCACCCAGAACCACAGGAAGGCTGGCTGAGGAGAGACTCTTCAACTAGAAGGAAAAATAACAGCACACCGAGGCTCAGAGGAGGCGCAGTGTGGAAAAAACTCAGGTGCGGAGGTGCGCGCGCAAAGCGGGCTGGTGGCTGAGAGCGCGGTTGTCGTTTTCGGTCAGGGGGGAGTCTCAGACTCTGAGCTCCAGATACGGGCGAATCGCTGGGGACTCGGACCCAAACGGGAGAAGCGGGAGTGTCTGGCATCAGTTGGAAGGCAGCTTTCTCTCCGAGGTTTGCAGCGGTTCCTGGGGTTCTGAGAAGCAGAGCCTCTGGGAACAGGACTGAGGGCACCATAACGGCTCCCTCCGCCCGCCCTGTTGAGCCCGCCCCGCCCAAGCCCTGCGCAGAGCCATTTGCCAGATCGCCTCAGGCAAAGGCTAGATTAGCACCTCCCCAGAGGACAGAAGTTTTCCGCGGCAGACACAGCTGATTCACACAGCCAGTCGGCCTGGTGGTCAAATCCCTCTAGTATTAACTACAACAATCAAGGCTCAACTAGAACAAGACTGCGCACAAAGACCACTAGGGGGTGCACCAAGAAAGCATAAAAAATGCGGAGACAAAAAAACATGACAGAAATGGAGGATATAGAGCTAAAAATCGCAATTTTGAGGGCTTGCAAAAATGTGCTAGAAGCTGTCAATAAACTTGAGGAGAGAGTCACGAAAACTAATGAGACCCTCGATGCTATGATAAAGAACCAACTAGAAATTAAGCATACACGGACTGAAATAAAGAATATTATACAGACACCCAATAGCAGACCAGAGGAGCGCAAGAATCAAGTCAAAGATTTGAAATGCGAAGAAGCAAAAAACACCCAACCGGAAAAGCAAAATGAAAAAAGAATCCAAAAATACGAAGATAGTGTAAGGAGCCTCTGGGACAGCTTCAAACGTACCAACATCAGAATTATAGGGGTACCAGAAGATGAGAGAGAGCAAGATATTGAAAACCTATTTGAAGAAATAATGACAGAAAACTTCCCCTACCTGGTGAAAGAAATAGACTTACAAGTCCAGGAAGCGCAGAGAACCCCAAACAAAAGGAATCCAAAGAGGACCACACCAAGACACATCATAATTAAAATGCCAAGAGCAAAAGACAAAGAGAGAATCTTAAAAGCAGCAAGAGAAAGAGACTCAATTACCTACAAGGGAATACCCATACGACTGTCAGCTGATTTCTCAACAGAAACTTTGCAGGCCAGAAGGGAGTGGCAAGAAATATTCAAAGTGATGAATAGCAAGAACCTACAACCAAGATTACTTTATCCAGCAAAGCTATCATTCAGAATTGAAGGTCAGATAAAGAGCTTCACAGATAAGGAAAAGCTAAAGGAGTTCATCACCACTAAACCAGTATTATATGAAATGCTGAAAGGTATCCTTTAAGAGGAGGAAGAAGAAAAAGGTAAAGATACAAATTGTGAACAACAAACATGCATCTATCAACAAGTGAATCTAAGAATCAAGTGAATAAATAATCTGATGTACAGAATGAACTGGTGATTATAATGAATCAGGGACATAGAAAGGGAATGGACTGACTATTCTTGGGGGGGAAAGGGGAATGGGAGATGCGGGAAGAGACTGGACAAAAATCGTGCACCTATGGGTGAGGACAGTGGGTGGGGAGTGAGGGCGGAGGGTGGGGCGGGAACTGGGAGGAGAGGAGTTATGGGGGGGGGAGAGGAACAAATGTAATCTGAACAATAAAGATTTAATAAATTAAAAAAAAAAAAAAAAAGATCCAACTAAAGCTGTGACCTTTGGCCACGGGATACAGCTAATCCAAAGGTTTCCCACATGGAGAAGGTTGGGGAAATGAACACTCTGACCCCACTCTTCCTCCACACATAGTTCTGTTTGTGTCCCCACTAGTGGAACCCAATCAGAAGCAAAAGGGCCATGGAGCTGGGCTGGTGCAGGTCCCATCAGCCTTCACGCACGGAGAAAGCTGAAGGTGGGGAGAGTGTACTGGGCGGGGCGTGCCCACCAACACGGGTAGGACCTGAGTTTCTCACGTCCCTGTGCAGTCACCCAGTGCCCTGCTTCCAAGAGGTGGAGCTATCAGTGCACTGGGCACCACAGAAACCATGTTCTAAGCTCCGCAGGAGAGGCCCACAGTCGGAATGAGACAAAACTAAAGATGAACTAACCTTTTCAAGCTGCTCCACTTTCTGCGACCATTCCTAAGGCAAAAGAACAAAAAAAGTACAGTTTCCAGGGAAGAGTATCAATATCAAGATTTTCAGAAAACAACCTACCCCACCCCCAAAGCAACCCACCAAACAAACAAAACAACGAATTAAAAAACAAACAAACAAACACATGAAGTTGTCTTAATATTAAGAAAGTCAGACCCTAGCTGGTTTGGCTCAGTGCATAGAGCGTAGGCCTGCAGACCAAAGGGTCCCGGGTTTGATTCCGGTCAAGGGCACATGCCCAGGTTGCGGGCTCCTCCCTGGCCAGGGCCTGGTCAGGGTGTGTGTAAGAGGCAACCAATTGATGTGTTTCTCTCACATCAATGTTTCTCTCTGTCTTTCCCTCTCTCTTCCACTCTTTCTAAAAATCAATGGAAAAATATCCTCGGGTGAGGATTAAAAAAAAAGAAGCAAGCTAAGAGTCCTAAAAAGAAGAAAATGAACTTTTTATAAAACTCTAGAATACAAATATAAGCCTGCAGATTGTTACTAAGTAGAGCACCCAAACAAAACTACCTGTGCTGCTTGGATGCAGCTTTTCAGCTCATTCCTGACTGGTTTTCCATGGTCACTATTATAACTTCTTGGGATGAGCAGCTGGGACCAGCTGAGTTGGTAACTTTGTAACTGATGTTTAGAAATTAATTTACTAAAGGGGAAGGTCTTCAGTAGCTCCTAATAATTATTTTCCTTCTCATCTTGATTTTACCAATATGCTTTATGCATCTGGTATAAGTTCATGGAAAAGGAATTATGTCCATTATTCACAAATCACTGAACAGGGGGAAAAATATCCACTGGTACGAAAGGCCATATCCCAAGTGCCTACAATCAGAATCTACCAATTTTAGATTTCTTAATAAACTCATACCATCATAGTTAGCCACTAAGTACAGTATTGGTAAATGATTTTTTTTCTGGTTAGTAATGTCCTAGAAGACAAATACAAACTTTAAAACCAACCAATCAACCACCCCACCTACTGTAGGTAAATTATACATTTTTTGTTTTGTTTTGTTTTTTGTTAATCCTCACCCAAGGAGATATACACACACACACACACACACACACACACACATATATATTTTTTTAAATCTTCATCCGAGAATATTTTTCCATTGATTTTTTTTAGAGGTGGAAGGGAGGGAGAAGGGGGAGAGAGAGAGACACATCAATTGGTTGTCTACCGCATGCCCCTAACTGAGGGTATGTAGGAGGACTGAGTCTGCAACCAAGGTACGTTGCCATTGACCAAGAAGCGAACCTGAGACCTTTCGGTGTATGGGCCGATGTTCTAGCCACTGAGCAAAACCGGCTAGGGCTATACATTGTTTAAATGCAACATAATAAATTGACCCCCATCTTAAAAAAATCAGGATTATCATTATAATATCTTGGTGCTTATCTTAAATTTAAAATGCCATTGCACAAAATATACAGCATTATTTTCCTTTATTATTATTCATTCAGCATCTTTCAATGGATGATTCTAATGAGATTATAGGAATTCCCTGTCTAGCTAGCTGAAGCTGAAGAAATTTGGGGACAAAGATTGTAAGAACTACGTACATCATGGATGATGGCTAGCTTGATATCATCTTCTCCATTATCAAAGGCAAATGTTTGGATCTAGGCTTTGAGAGAACAGAGATCTTCTTCCTTGTCTTGGGCTTGCTACCAGACTATGGACACACAATTTCCCCTCTCCATTTTACAAAGCTACACAGTTGCAGAATGGTAATCTCACTAATAATCAATAATAATACTTCATGATTATAACTGTAAAGTTTCTTGATAATATCCCACCCTGAGGCCAAATGAAATCTCAAAAAACATACAGGGTGGGGCAAAAGTAGACCTACAGTTGTTTGTATGGAAAATAAAACAATAATAATAATATAAGAAACTGTTTCACGAACTCACAACTATAAACCTACTTTTGCCTCACCCTGTATATAGCATTTCTTTTCTCCTAGGTTATAAATATTTTCTACCAGGTTTAAGTCATGATTTTAAAAAATCATGTCCCAAATGAAATCTTTTCGCCAGTCTTGGGCAATGTCAAATATAAAATACCTGGTCCTTTCTGGCTAATGCCAAAGCCTGTTCTTCTGCCATTTTGGCTCTGTTGGCTTGGAATGTCTCATTCTGCTCTTGAAATTTCCGCATGGAAGCTGTTAACAAAGAGGCTTTATTTGAGATATGGAAACATTTCAGAAACAGCATCACAAATAACCCATGTGATTACTTTACAATTGTGACCTAACAAAAAGGCCAAGGTCACATAAATGAATTATGAGACTGAGAAAAACCTGATCCATCTCAACTTTCCCAGAATCGTTTGGCCTTAGTAATAGACTACCATTTTTGTTTATTTGTTTCCTGTTGTTTTTGTTTTTTTGTAATAATCAAGTATATACATTTAGGAAGATGCCAAAAGGTAACTTTTTAAATGGTACAGTGAACGAACACTGACTGAGTTAGGTAAGGTGCAAGAAAACACCAATGCTATTGCTAAGTGATGGCTATTAACAATTTATAGAATTAAAAAGAAAAACAAAAATCAAAACAAAGCAACACACAAAAATATTTCACTTTGTTTTCCTTTAAAAAAATTTTTTTAGCCCTAACCGGTTTGGCTCAGTGGATAGATCGTCAGCCTGCAGACTGAAGGGTCCCAGGTTCGATTCCGGTCAAGGGCATGTACCTTGGTTGTGGGCACATCCCCAGTAGGAGGTGTGCAGGAGGCAGCTGATCGATGTGTCTCTCTCATCAATGTTTCTAACTCTCTATCCCTCTCCCTTCCTCTCTGTAAAAAATCAATAAAATATATTTAAAAAAAATTTTTTTTTAGTATATATCAACTGAAAATAACAATCTACTTCCGTTGGCATTTTCTTTGATTGGACCAAAGAATACCATATGATTTAGGGTAGAATTAACAAAATATATATTCTATTGTTGGAGGAGGAGTGATGACAGCTAGACATTTCCCCCAGTTTCTGAACACAGAAGGAATGCAGCTATGGCTAGAACCAAGACTCCTGATTTAGATGCCAGGGCCAGGCACTAGATTTTGCCAATAAACTGGACAACTGGATGGACACAGCTTCCTTCTCCTAAGAAACATACCCATAAATACGAGTTGTACGTTACTAAATATCAAACAAATGTTATATCAACCTAATTAAGAATACTGGATACTACTCATAAAACAAAGATTTGAGCTGTGACAAAGTTAAAAACTTAACCATACACAATTGTTTCATTTAAAAAAACTAAACCCTAAAAATATTGGGGGGGAAAAAAACAGGAAAAAAAAATACGTACAATCCTGGTGTTTTTCTAATGCAATTTCAAGCTTCTCTTTTATCTTCTGCAAGTTTCGGACCTGTTCAGCATAGTCTTGGGTGAGGAGGGTGACGCACATACCAGGAATGGACAAACATCAGGAAAGGAAGTTAATTAAACAAAAAAATGAATGAAAATGATGATGATTTTTTCAGCCTGAAAACGATTCCTGGTAAGGATAGCTAGGCAGACAGCCTCCCAATAACAATGAACAAGACAGGCAAACAGGTAGTACAAACTATCCAAGGTGTAAATGGAGAATACGAATAGGCAGCTTTGTTTAGCCTTGATAAAAAAACAAGAATTGGGCCTGGATTGGTCATCAGAAATGCCCTGCTATGAAAACCAGTATCATCTCATTACTTAATTTCAAATCTCAGTTTTCACTTCCCCTTCCAGTCTTAGCAGGATAGATCAAAGGGAACTCCCTAAATAGCATACAGTCCGTACAACTGAGTAACAGTGGTTAGGGCACTAGCAGACACCTTACCACAGTACTGCCTTTACAGTGAAAATGCTTCATTTTCTAAAAAAGTCAGCTTCCTTTCCACACAGGAACTGAAGCTGCCTATGCCATTTTAAAGGTGAAAGTCAGAATTAATTACCTGAGTGGCCAAAGAAGATAGTATGGTATAGTGGAAAAGTAGACAGGGTTTAGTTCAAATCCCAACTCTGTCAGTCCTTAAGCAAATGATTGATCCTAAGTATTAGTTTCTTCATTTATTAAATGATGATATTAAGAGTACCTACCTCAAAGGATGCATTAGATAATAAAACATTTTATATGCCTTATGCACCTAGCACACAGTGCTCAATAAAAGGGAGCTGCTATCGTTATTATTCATACTGAGCCTGTCCGAAAATACCCAGGACATATGTGAGCTCAGTAAATGTCAGTTCTCTCCCCTGCCCCTTCCTCTCTAATCAAGTCAAGCTCAAACTATTCTCCCTTCTACATTAGGGAGGGTACATGTCATTTTATAGTTTCCCCACAACATTAAACAAATGTGCAGTTATTTCACCTGTGTTACTGAAACTATTTACACTAGAGGGTAAGAGGACAGTAACAACTGAGTTTAAAGCAGACTGTAATTAAGAGTATGGACTCTAGCCCAGCCGGCATGGCTCAGTGGTTGAGCGTCAACTTATGAACCAGGAAATCACAATTCGATTCCCAGTCAGGGCATACGCCTGGGTTGCGGGCTCAATCCCCAGTGTGGGGCATGCAGCAGGCAGTCAATCAAAGATTCTCTCTCATCATTGATGTTTCTATCTCTCTCTCCCTTTCCCATCCTCTCTGAAATCAATAAAAATGTATTAAAAAAAAAAAAAGAGTATAGACTGGGATCCCAATCAAGCAAATCTGGATTTGGATCCCAGCTCTACCACCTACTACTTGTGCGACCTTAACCTTGCTATGTCTAATAAGGCTACAGTGAGGACAAACTGATAATAAACTAACTAGAAGTTGGGAGCTACATTATGGACCTTTGATAACTGAACAAACACACAGATGTCACATAAAATTTGGGGAATTTTGCAGTCTACTGCTTTCACTCCAATAAAATGGGCATAAGGCCAATGGACAAAAAGAAACACAGAAACCACTAACCACTTCACAGGATGAAACTTTCAAAATGCATCCCCTGGCAGAAACAAAATAAGAACTCACACTCTATCACAAACATGACCTGCTCAGGCAAAGGATTTAATGGGAGTTGTGTAAATTGTAAAGTGCACACAAAAAAACACAGCAAGCGTTACTGCTTCTATAAAGATGCTGAAGTTAGAAATACTATTGAAATGTGGCCCAGACCAGAATAACACTTACATAGGTGATATGTAGCTGTAGCAAGTGGCAACAGAGCACCAAATCCCTCTGGTGTTGAAGAATCCAACATGTGTTGGTCATTCCCTGTAAATGGTATCCTCTACCCCTCTCCATCAGAAAGCAAGCTATGCTAATGGTTAAAGAAGATAGTCAAGTCTATTTTACATACACTTTTAATACCTTTTATATCCATGGCTGGAAACCTCAGGAGCAGAAAACATAAGTTTTGTGTGCTTTTTAAAGTTTAAATCTCAGTTTTGAATTTACACTATTTGGTATACTAACAAAAGAGGGTATAAATTTCTCCTTTCTTTACTAAGAAAAGCAAAATACATAAAAATAACTATAAGATTATACTATATAGCTATTTTATAGGGAGAGAGGGTTACGGAAGGAAAATTGCCTTTGTTTGTTTTTAATGAGTTCTTAGACATACCAGAAAGTCTGGCCTCTAATTTCCGTATCTGTTCATTCCTTCTCAAAAGCTGAGACGAAAGATCTTCTCTGGAACTGCTTCCATCGGAAGCCTGTTGAGATAGACACACGAAGTAGTATTCATACATGGGTTTCTGGAAGTGTGAGACCACAGTACTGAACCAGAAAGCGACGACTCTTATTTTAAGTTTGGTTACACTTTGTGATCACTGAAAAGCTTAACTTACATGGATCCTAGCTCATCAACCTATAAAGCAGAAGCAACACTATATCCATCTACAGTATGAAGGGATGTGAGATGCCAAACAAATAATGTGTGTGTATACATGGTATTGAAGTAAATGATGGTGAACAAACCTATTATGATCTTATTACACCAAGTACATAATACAGAATATATGTTTTCAGTGATTAAAAAAAAAAGGAAGTCACTTTATTTTTCCAAAGCTAAAGTCCTGGGATAAACAGGGAAAAGTTCTGTGATGATAAAGAGGGGAAGGCTAGTCTGTGAGGAAGAAACTATTACTGATATTGATAAAGTTTCAGTATCTTCATCTATAAAACGAAGAGATGTCATTTTAAAGCTCTAGAGTGAATCAAATTTTCCTCAACAGTCTACATTATCGTAAAACATTATCTTTATTATTTTGGTCATTGCTTACTGTTGTTAATAAGTAACTTGCTTTATATTTTTACCTTTTGTTATAAAATTTTTAAAAACACAGACGAGTAGGGAGAATGGTTTAGTGAACATTAATTTTAACAATTGCTGATGTTTTCCCAAATTTGCTTCATCAATTTTTATTTTACTAAAGTACTTTAAATAACATCATGGCCTTGGCTGGTGTGGCAAAGTGGGCTGGGCATCTCCCATGCACCAAAAGGTTGCCAGTTCATTCCCCGTCAGGGTTCAGTCCTCGGTAGGGGGAGTGCAGGAGGCAGCCAGTCAATGTTACAATCTCACATCGATGTTTCTCTCTCGCTCCCCTCCTCCTTAAAATCAATAAAAATATTTTAAAATAAATAACAGGCATTATGGTATTTCATCCTGAATACTTTGATAAATATTTCTAAAATATAAGGACATGTTCCTTTATAACCACAATACCATTACCATACCTAACAAAATTAAAAATAATAGCATCTAATATCTAGTAATGTTTCTCAATTTATTCCCAAAATGTCTTTCAAGGTGGTTGAACAATTCACTTTAAATCACTGACCATCTAGCCACTTGCCCATCCACCATGTATGGAGATGCATTACAGTGTACAGGTAAGAGGGAGTCTCTGCAGGCAGAAGGTCCAGGTTAAAGTCCCATCTTCACCACTTATAAAAGTATAGAACTTGGGCCAATTATTAACTTCTCTGTGCAATGGTTGCATATGTAAACTATGATAACAAACATGATGTACTTTATAGAACTGTTATGAGTAAATAAAACAATAATTGTCAAGTCCCTAAAATAGAGCCTTGCATAGTTTTAATACATATCATCTATTATTAATAAAAGTTATGATTATTACTGTTAGTGACACATCCTATTCTCAGCATTGTGCTAATAAGCACTGAAATAGAGAGAGGTAAAACAAAGAGTCCTTACCTAAAACAGCAGCAGCCGCAGTAACTGCTAATCATGAAATACGTGTTAAGAGCCAGGCACTATATTACAAAGTGTTTTATATACTGTGCAGCAAAGAGTTAACATCACAGGCCTGAGACTGCCATTTTTAGCAAGGTCTGCTTGGAAGGTTAGCCTTTGGCTGACCTATGGGAACTTAGATTTTGCAAGGGTTCCCACTATTCCTGATAAGGCTCATTGTACCCTAATGCTAACACCTGTTCTTCTTCCGGGAGTCTGAAATTTTGGTAAATGACTAGCCTCCCAATAAAATCCCTGGGCACTGAAATGCTAATGGGCTTCTTGGTAGACAACATTTTACCCTGTGTCACCACATTTGTCTGAGAAACACAGAGCCTGAAATAAATGGAAGTAAATGTGTTGCCAGCAAATGGAGGAGAGAGGGTAAGTTTGGGACATTTAGGAGATGGAAGCCAAATACAGGGTATCCCAAAAAAATGTATACACACACTTTGAATAATTATAAAGTCAGTATTTATTAAAAGACATTTCATTTTTAAAATTGAGTTATTAGCTGTTAAAGTCTGTATGTATTTTGGGGGGAACACCCTGTACCTATTAACTGCTTGGACACCAAGAAGTGAAGGAGGAAAGAGTTTAAAATGCCTCTAAGGTTTCTTGCTGGTGACTTGGGGGATGAGGTGCACATGTGGAAATGAAGTTACTGAATTCACTTTTGTTCATTTTAGAATTTAAAATGCCAGAGGAAAAACATCTGGTTGGAGAACTATATGCAGCAGGTTATAAGTGTCTGAAAATAGGGTGGGATCAGAATGTATATATAGTAAGTTCAAATTAATTACTTTAGAAGTCTCAAAGCAAAGTATTTCCTGAATTCAGGCCAATCTGTATGTCTGAAACACATTCGCAATGAGAGCCTTCACTTAGCATGTCAGCATGCAGGTATTTCTGCCTGCATGAAAGGCAAAGCAGGTATTTCAGTCACAGAACTCAAGAATTAAAACTATATCCTTCAGCCTGGTGATCAAATGTGCACTTATTTATATTTCCTGTTAAATATAGGAGGCTAATGATAATTTAGATCTGGTAGTCTTATTGTTTCATCCCAATAACCTAATAGCTTCTACCATGAAATCTGACCCAGACAGGCAGTATAAGAAAGGAGGAAGACGAGTCATCTGACCATGGAAACAACTCAAGTGTCTATCACCAGGAGTAGACAGAGATAAACTGTCTTCAAGTGCTGGAATCCTATACAGCAGTAAAAATAAGTGGACCACAGCTTCATGTAACACAGATGCATTTTAGAAACATGTTGAGTGGGGGGCAGGTAAAGTCCAAGAAGACTAGAGTATACAATTTTTTATAAAGCTCAAAAATAAGCAACATTAAACAACAAACTGTTGATGAATATATTTATATCTGGTAGGATATTTTAAAAATCAGGGGAATGATAACACAACATTTAGGATAGTGGTTATCTGGAGGGGAGTGAGGGGAAGGGAAGAAGCATATAAGTAGCTTCAACAGTATCAATAATGTTCTAGTTCTTTAAATAAGTGACAGATGAACAAGCCGTCATTTTATTTTTATGCTTTATACTTTACGTTTACTTTATATACATATTTTTTACATATATGAAGTACTATAAGCCATTTTGGGAAAGTTATCTGACTTTAAGGGCATCCTGCCATATGCTAGAGACATACTTTTAATCCTAAGGCTTAACATTTACCTTACACAGCAGCATCCTCATTTTTTGAAAACTTTCCAACCACAAAGGCTCTTTATGAATAAGGGACATACTGCAGTCATCAGTGCCATCTTTTCATCAACTTTCCCAATAAAGGAGTGTACTTTGGCTCACTCCACATGACAACTCAGAGACCTTGTTACGCAACAATGGCTTAAAGTATATGTGTCTACAGAGACAACAGACAGAAGTATTGAGAAATGAAATGTAAAAGAAGATGCACAAGATACATAGATGGAAAAGAGTACAAGAGGATAATGGAAAGAATATGGAAAGGAACTCACAGAAACATAAGAAAAAATAAACAGAAAAGCACCTCAGAATAAGAAGAATCATGTAATAACTACAAATAATCTTTTAATTAAAAAATATACTTATTGGAACGATCCCTGAGATCTTATTTTAAATATATATTGAGATGGTAACAAATACTAAAAACTATGAAGATACTTACAAAGTCATCTCCTGAGTCAGCTCCCATAGAGGCAACAGACTCCTTGCTCACCGACCGTGGGATCCTAGTAGCACCTCCTGGCCTCTGGGAAACAGCAGACTCTTCTGCAACTTTCTTCTTTAGTTTTGCAAACATTTTGCTGTGTGGCTATCCTGTCCTGGTGACCAGCTCTTACACCACCACAGCAAGTCTTTAGGCCAGCAAGCAAGAATTCCAAGACAGGTGTCTAAAAAGTTCCAGACATCCAGGCTAGCTGCATTCCCTCTTAAATGTGGGTCACCTATGGCAACACAGAATCTACAATCAGATGAAAGAGATAAGTTAAACACTGGAGAGATTTCACATCTGAGTTGCTATGTTAAGCTTCAGGTTTCAAAATTAAGTTTCACAATTTTCCATGTATACTTAATAGAACACAATTACTAAACATTTAAAAAGTGCTCAGGTACTTCATATGCATATACAGATCAAGAAATTCAGTCTGGAGTTGGTGAAGTAATCTGCCAAAGACTATGTGGCTAAGTGGCAGGGCTGGTATCCCTACTCCCCCCACACCCCCCACCCCATACACCCCAACCTGAGATCAAACCCACAACCTGGGCATGTGCTCTGACAGGGAATCAAACCCACATCCTTTCGTATACAGGACGAGGCTCCAGCCAACTGAGCCACACCAGCCAGGGCCCTACTCTTTTTCTTTAGTACATACACCATGTTGGCCATGGCACATTAAGTAAAAATTTCCAGGGTAAACATTAACATCACATGATGATTCTGAATCCTCCTCCCAATAATACTAACTACAGTTCCGTGTTGTTGTTTTTTGTTGTTTTTTAAGATGAAGACAAAAACATGTAACTCACTGTGAGGAAAAGGTGCAATGGTGTTATGTTCCCGGATGGTTTGCAATCAGCTATTCACCAGAAAAAGCTGACAACCTGGCAGAGACCAGGCAAGGCAGACAACTAACTACATTCTATAGGTATCAGATATCCTTACACGTTTCCTGGAAACGCTTTGTGGTTCTCTTTAAGGATGATGAAAATGACCTCAAATCCGTTTCTTTTCATAATACTCAACAATGAGACCCAAACGCCTTTTCCTCCCGATGGTGTATAAGGCGAATATTCTGGCTCGGGCCTTCACTCCTCATGTGCTGTGGAGGACAGCCCGGCTCGGCTACCTCCCATCCACAGGTGACTTTCTACCTCCGCAGGTCACCCATTTCAGTCCGTACAAGGCTTCAAAAGTTTTACCTTCAGTGTCTGTCCACCACCGACTCACCTGGCTTATCTACTAGATTTAAGACGGCCTTGGAGGTCAAAGTTTTCTGTCCTGCATGAAGACAAAGATAAAAATGCATTGGATATTTCTCTCCAAGCGTCAGGCCGAAACGCGGAGGGGGCTGGGCAGGCTGCAGAGAGCAGGGAGGGTGATGGAGGGAGAGGGAGAGACACCTGCCCCCGACGCGGACCTCAGTGAGCCCGCCCCCCGCACCTGGGCGTCTCTGTCTCGGTGATTTGCCTACGAGTCTCACTCACGGGCACAACATTGAAAGAAAAGCCTCAAAGAACAACCTCTCTCACTGCAGCCGGTGCCTAAACAGACTTCGCACCGGGATCCCCGGGCGAAACAACTTGAAGGAGGCGACGATGTCCCGGGGCCCGTGTTTCTCAGGTGATTCTGAGTCGCACTGTTTACCTGGGGCCCTGACGCCCTGAGAGAGTCGCGGGGGGCAGATGGCTCAGTGGGTCACAGGCAGCTGCTTCACGCCCAGGGAGGCAGGCGGGAGCCTCCCGTCGCTCAGGCTCCTTCCAAACCGGCCGGAGCGAGGACTGTCGGGGAGGGCGGGACCCGCGCCCCTCCCCTCTCACAGGTGGACCCTGAGGCCAGAGGAGTGACTAGTCGGAGGTCGCGCAGGGGGCTCCCGAAACCGGCT